TATCCTATTCCAGTATCCAATGAAAAGTTCCGAAACCATCTTTTGATAATTTAAACAAACGTTGTTCTCAGTGAATCAGACTTTCTAACTCTCTGCGCCTCTTCTTCTCTGACATTCTCTCTTTTCCTCCGTTTCGGCCGACGTTTCATAATGAATGGTTGGAAGTTTTGAGCTGGACTCTTATGAAATCTCCACTGAAATGGGAGGTATAAAATGAAAAAGGTTTCACATGGAGAAATTAACCTCTTCTTCTATTTTATTGAGAGAATATGGATTTCGAGGCAGTTTTCAAGTTTGTTTCTCATTCTGAACGTGTCAAATGTGTGGATATTCATCCGGACCATCCATGGGTTCTGACTTCTCTTCATTCTGGAGTCATTCAAATATGGAACTATGAAACTAAAACATTAGTCAAAGCTATTGAGGTAAGAAAGGTTTCTACAGTATACCTTCAAATTCTCGAATTTCAGATTTATGAAAAATCAGTGAGATCTTCTAAATTCATTCCAAGAAAAAATTGGATTTGTACTGCTTCCGACGACGGACTAATCCGAATTTTCGATGTTCAATCATTTGCTCTTCTCCACGTATTTGAAGCTCATTCTGATTTCATTCGATCTATTACCATTCATCCAACTCTTCCATATATCATATCAGCTTCAGATGATAAAACTATCAAAGTTTGGGATTGGGAAAAAGAATTTCGTTTGGAGCAACAATTCGATGGACACCTGCATTATATCATGCAAATTGCATTGAATCCAAATGACTCCAGTATTCTTGTCAGTGCTTCTTTGGATAAAACTCTCAAAATTTGGAATCTTAGAGAAGAAAAGGAAATCGCAACATTGAATGGACATCAGAAAGGAGTGAATTGTGTTGCATTCATCGGAGATTCCACAATTATTTCTGGTTCTGATGATAACTCAATTCGCTTCTGGAACTATCAAGTATGCTAGAATTTTTGTTTTACTTCTGACAGTGTTTATTTTTCAGACGAAGCAGTGTATCGATTGTTTGGAAGGAGCTCATCAAAACAATGTTACTTTCCTGGCAACCGTTAAAGAATGGATCATTAGTGGGTCAGAAGACAACTTTGTCAAAATTTGGAATACAAAATCTCATCGGTTCGTTTTCAATTTTTTAAAAATTAAGTTACCGTAAAACCTCTAATAGAACTAACGAAATTTTGATTTTCTTTTTCGAATTTCTCGAAAATGTTCAAACATTGCAAAAGGTAAAGTAGAGATAAAATTAATCAGAGTGACTTCTGGAGTTTTCCAGACAAAATATTAAAATTGTCCCGAAGAATTATAATTCTTCGAATTCCAATGTTGTTGATTTTCTTATAACCACTGAAATTTTACAGAAAACTAGTTTGGTTTAAAAATAAATCTTCTAATATTTTGATTTTTCAGCCGACACCTCATCAGCAGTTGACAACAACGTTTACACAGAAGCCGTCGAAGCTTACGAT